CTTTCCGCTATATATAGATATTCACACATACTGATTTTAAAAGTATAAAACGTCCAGTTTCATGTAAATTTACAAAATTGATACATAGAATTTTCTGTGGTTTAAAGGAGGGCTTTCTGAGGACCCCTTTTGAAGAAGGAAATGCTTCTGCAGTCCAAGTAGTGTTGTGTGGGAAACGGATACTAGATTTCATAAGTGACTGAAGAAATGCTGCCCTGACATGATAACTGGACACAGAATCTCTTCTCAGATCTCTCTCCACACTTTCCCAGTCCTTAAAAGGTGGTGATACTCTTCCTTTGCTAGTATGTGCTTGGAGAGTCAGAGATAAAAACACCATCTAGATACTATTGGTTGTCAGCTAAGTCCCTCATCTTATTTCAGAGTAAGTTTAAAAAGAATAGAAAGCTGAGTAAAACTACTCAATCTTTAAGAATTTTATGGGGAGAAGGGGAACTTCATTAAAAAACACACTCATACAGCTGTTAATGTGACTCTTCCAACTGGTATTGCTATACTAAATACAACAATCCTAACTTTTTTTAACGTGTTTAGTCATAAACCTGTGTCCTGGGTTCAGCAGTAGCAGTCATGTGTCTCCTTCGTGGTAGCTGGTGCAGTGCTGTGTTTTGACTTCCAGCCTGGGAACAGTGCTGGTGATACCGATATTTTCAGTTGTTGCTAAGTGATGTTTACCCTGACCAAGGACTTTGTGAGGCTCATGCTCTGCCAGGGAGGAGGGGAAGCTGTGAGGAAGCAGAGACAGGGCGCCTGACCCGGGCTAGCCAGGGAGGTATTCCATACCACAGCACGTCATGGCTGGGGTGGGGGGTAACTGGGAGTTACCCGGAGGGACATGGGCTTCTGGGTGTGACTTGTTTCTCAGCGGGTGGTATCGTATTCTCTTCCCTTGTTATTTTCTCTTATCGTTGTTGTCGTTGGTGGTAGCGGTGGTGATCTGTGTTGTACATTGGTTGCTGGACTGTTCTTGTCTCAACCCGTAGGAGTTGCACTCTTTCGATCCTCCTCTCCCTTCCTCCGGGAGTGGGGAAGGGGAGAGCCCTGGGGGGGGGGGTGGTGGGAGGACACGGGCCTCAATTGCTCTCAGCCCGGCACCACTCACTGGGAGTGGGTGAACAAGCTGTCTGGCTAGGGTTTAAACCACGACAACCCGACAAAAAAATGCAGAAATATCAGAGCTGTTTTAGTTTACCATGCCACTTTACATAGCTGACTGCTATCCAGAGGCAGCAACTTTGAAAGGTGCTTATAATGACTATGTAGAGTTCATATGTTAATAGCACAGGCAGGATTTTAAGATTCCTAGACCAAATTTCATCTGAAAAAAAACCCACAAACCAACCAAAACCAAACCCAAAACCCAAAAACCTACTAGAGAAATTTTATACTAGAAAAATACGTGGAGTTTAGAATTATGTCTATTGACTCTGAAATGCTGCAAAGTTAACATTTTCTGATTTGTATTTGAAAGTTATTTCAGGTTAAACCGAGTTGAGAATCTGAATTGCACCAGATATTTCAAAAATCCTACTTCCATGTGCAGTTTTATTCTGAAATAAAATGTGGTGAAATAACTGTAGACAAAACATAGACTCTTGTTTTCAGATGTCATCGTAATCGCCTACTCTGATGAAAAACAGTTTGTGCTATGATAACTGAGGTTTCGGCTACATCCAGACCTTGGCATGCATCTCTGCATGAATTTATACATTGAGTAAAATTCCTGACTGATTTGGGAGCAGCAGAAAAAATACCCTGACCTGCAGCATATGTCTGGGCAAAAGCTGAGAAAATAAGGGTATTATCAGCAATCAGTCTGAACAGGCAGTCTACTGTGACTAGTAGGAGGAGACTGGCATTTGAAGATTATGCCTCTTGATTGATTCACAAGAGGAGGAATATTCATGCTGTAAAAGACGAATTTTTTTTCCTGTGTTCTGCATCAACACATCTGAATTTTGGTTGTACAATAAGGCAAATGGTGCAAAATTATTGTGTACGGAAACAAGCTTAAGTAGCAACAGCTATACGAATATACTGGCTTTTAGTGGCATTCTAGTACTCCTTGTGAAAGAACATTCAGGAAAAAAATGTTTTATTTTTATTGGATCTCTTCACCATATCGATACATGCCTATTTTAATCCCTCTTTTATACTGAAAAATTAAATATATAAATTCACATTCTTATATAAATAAAAAGTAGTGTACCAAACACAACTTGAACATTTAATGAAAACCGAAGGTGCTACTTATGGTTAAATGATGGTAATATTTTAAACATTTGTACCATTCACTCAAGCTTTTCCTGAAGTCTCAATAAGATGCCAAAAGTTGCCTAAATTTAAGATGTGCTATACAACAATTATTTTAATGTTTGGACATTTGGTTTTCCTTAAAAACTGCTAGTTTTTTGAGTTCAGTGCGTAATTGCATAATTAAGAAAGCCTGACTAAATAAACAGAACCAAAGAGTATGTTGTTTCACATCAGGCAAATTTATTAATGTGAGTTGATACACAAACAGTCTACACTGAAACACCTAGGCATTTCATAACCAAATTCAGCAAAGAAATGCCCACTGAAAGGAGTACCATCCATATGGCCATACTACATGACATGGGCAGTTCCTCCTTGAACAATGTACCTATTGGTCTTTCTTCTTTGTTTGGTAAGAGTGCTGAGTGTGTCAGGTAGCAACATCACATAAGGAAGAACTGGTGATTGTGAAAAATATTATGACAAGTGGAAAAAGCAGTTTGACATCCAAGCAAATACTTTGATACAAACCTTTGAGATGAGCTGTTTTTGCTGACAGTGATGCAAACTCATTGAGATTTTTTCTGTACTCACAGAAGCTTCCTCAGACAAAGTTTTGATAGACTATCTTACACTTGTACTTAGATTGGAAGTCCTATGTGTGATCTACGTGCTGCTCAGCCAATACAAAGTATTACTTTATAAGATCTACTGGCCAGTTTCAAAAAAATTTCACTTGTAGGTAACATGGAATTTCAGTTCTGTGATCTTTGGAAAGGTAATCTATTTCTGTTGTTTTTCAGAATCTAAAATGAAGAGGGAAGGATGCAGTTTAAGCGGTAAATTATAAACACAGGAGAAATTCAGCTGATTAAACAGAAAAGATACGTTGTTGTAAGGACAGGCAAATGCTTCACATTCTGAGATTTGCTCTGTACTTCTAAAAACAAAAACCCACTTTTTTTTTATTTTCAGAAGGAATTGCTTACCTGCCCTCATGAACATGCATGTTGTTGATGCATGGATTTATCATCTGCCTTCACAGTGTTTGAAAACTGCTCTCCAGTGAACCCCTATGAACTGCCAAATCCCACTCAGCCTTATTTCTGGAGCAACTTTGACAGAAATGGAAAGAATTTTGACTACACAATGGCGTATTTTTTTTTTCTCAGTAGCTCTGTTTTTTGTTATAGGAGAGGGAGTGGCTCTCAAATACTTTTAAATTTTGAACAGTTTGGCTAAAACAGAGTCATTGTTTGCTTCTTGTATTTTAATGACAGTCTGTGCGAACCAAGAGTTTTGGCATTGGGTTTTGGGGGCTAGTTTTGTCCTGTGGCAGGGACTGGCTTTTTCTTACATTCTGTCGTTGGGAAGCAGATCAAGAGCTCAGAATTTCATATGTACTTCTCAAGGCTTATCTGAAGGAGGGTATCCCAGTCAGTTCTGATATCACGGGACTTTTCCATTTGTGTATTTTAGAACTCATTTTTCTGGTACCCTGCACTGAGAGATGCAAGGAGAAAGGACAAGAATATTCCAGGCAGTAATAGCTTCTACATCTCTGCTGTCTTTGGATCAGACTTACTAGTCCATACACAGGAAATTTTCATGAAATGTTCTCACAGTCAGAACAATCATACCAGAGTTTAATTTTGCACAGTATATAACAAAAGATCTTGAAATCTCCAGTTAAGCTTCTCTAAACTTAGGCTAATTTAAAGCTATCAGGATAGCTGAAAGAAATTATTTAACTTTGATCTTAATTCTTGTACTTTTGGAATATGGAAAAAGAATATGAGTGCACTGATGCATTTTCAAGTAAGTGGTACCTGAAACACATGCTAGGCATTTTAAAATAAAACTCCAACAATTGTTTGACACTACTTAAAATTCTGTAACATTAAGCCTCAATAAAGGAAGCAGTACTGAGGCTTATCTATGGAGCTTTTGTGACAACTGACCTACTTGCTCAGCGAAGTATCACAAATTTGCAATCTTTTCAGCCCACCTAACTGAAAAAATACTTCAGTCCCTCCTCAGTTCAGGTTTGGGGTACAGAAAGTCTTAAAACCTAAACCAGTCATAACCGAAACAGTAGATCTTTCCAATGCACAGCTCTTTACCACTTGGGAAAGACCACAGTTGGATCCTTAATGGTGATTACCCACACACATAGTGCTGTCTCATTTTTCTCCAATTTAATTTTTAAAGAGAGCTTGAACTGTAACTCCAGGTAAAATCAATTTAACTGGGACGGAAGCTCAGCCAACACCGAAACCATTGGTAACTTACTCCATTATAACCGCTTCCTGATTAAATATAGTTAGGGCTTTTCCAATGGTTTATTCCCTATGGTAATTTAAACCGCCCCTCCTGGAACCCAGCGCTGCCCTGTCCCAGAGGCTCTGTACTTAGGCCCTCTGGCACTCCGGGTTTAAAGGAGAACCCTTCCTTTAGCTGCGGAACACCCGCTGTCGAGGTGCCGGGGCCCGGCCCGGCCCGCCCCCGCTGAGCTTACCGGCTGGCAGGTACGCGAGAGCAGACCCCAGGGGACGCGCCCGTTAACGGCCAACGGGCTCGCACGGCCCCGCGCCCCTTTCTAGGCGGGGCCAAGGCCCCTGGCCGGTCCCGCCCCGGCAACGGCCCTGCAGCCGCCGCCTTGTGAGCTTCCGCCGGGAGCGCGGCGGCCGTCCTGCGCGGGGCGGGGTTCCTGCTCCCCGGCGGGCGCCGAATGCGGCCCGCCCAGAAACTCCTCCGGGGAGCAGTGGAGTGTGCCGCTAGAGCGCCCGCGCGGCAGGGCGGTGCAGCAGGCGCCGCGTGCTCGTCTCGGTGGATAGGCCCGCCTCTCCGGCTGCGTGTGGCACCGTCGGGAGCGGAGCGGCTGTGAGGGGCCCACCATGATGAACAGCGGAGGGATTGGGGTGCCGCTGGGCTTCCCCCTGGGCCCCACGTCCGTCATCCAGGTCACGAACCTGTCCTCGGCAGTGACCAGTGAGCAGATGAGAACTCTCTTCGGCTTCCTGGGAGATATTGAGGAACTGCGCCTCTACCCCCCGGAGTAAGTGGGGCCTGTGCCGGCCTCCGGAGAGAGAGAGATCTGGAAAGAGGGAGAGGTCCTGAGGAGGATGGTGGGGGATGGATAAGGCAGAAGGTCCTGGGCGCCATTTTGAGTGCGGGCACCACAGCCTTCCGCGGGAGGGTGTATGTCCCACCGTTTTGTATGGCAGGAGCGGCAAGGGGACGGGAGTTTCGCCCGTACCTAAGATGGCGGCCCCGCGAGAGGGAGGGAGCAGCTGCGGCATTCGCGGAGCGGCGGGGTTTGCGTGCCGCAGCCGGTGGCTCGCGGTGAGCCCGGCCTGTGTGGGGAGCCGGCACCGAGGCAAAGCCGAAAGCCTGGCCAGAAGTGTGCCCGCGCCGCTTCCCGGCGCGGGTCGTTTTTTCTCTTTTTTTTTTTCCTAAAAAAAATCCTTTCTGCGGCCCACCGTTCTCTTCCGTCGACCTTAGTGGAGGGGGGCGGGCGAGAGAGCCCCAGGCCCGATCCCCGCCCCGCTGGCCCAACCGGCGTGTGCCGGTGGGACAAACCAATTCTTTTATTGTTTGTGTCAATCCCCCTCCACATTCCTTCCCCCTTTTTTCCTCCCCCCCCCCCTTTTTTTTTTTTTCTTTCCTTGGCCTGTTCGAAGGCCTCTGTTCTTCGAGAAAACGCCGCTCGAACAGAAGCCAGAATAGCTGTTCCCAGGGGGTCGGAACCTGCCCTGCTGTGAAATAGCCCTGACAAGGCGTGCAGAAAATTACAGTTAATAACGGACATTACACGTTTCTCCACACTGTAGTTGTTCTTATGTCAGCTGCGTGCGAGGGATGCACTCTGATGGGGGATTCTGAGGTTCACAAAATAACAATATTATTTCTCCAAGCAGATGATGATCAACAGAAAGGGGAGGAAACAAAGTTTGGGTTTTTTGTTTTAATACGTTTCTTGTACTAGGAGTGAGTGGCAAGCATGTTCTTTCAAAAACATCTACCTCTTAGGCAAATTAAATGGGAATAGCAGAAAGGGGAGGGAGCCATTCACATCCAGGTAGTTCAGTTTTAATATAAGTAAGATGTTTAGCTGAACAAAATACTCATTTTAAAAACTGACTTGCAGAAAATGTTGATATTTATCAATTTTAATGTGTCACTACATTACATCTGAGTGGATTTGAATGATGACCGTTCTGACAATTTACATATGATTTAATATGTACATATAAAGTATAAGTAATAAGAATGCATTTATGTAAAGTTAGGCTTAAAACAGCCTTACTGAGTTTTAAACACTCCATAATAGATCCTTAGTGATTTTTCACACAGTTTCTAGGGGTTTACGCTGGTTTTATTCTACACTTGCTTCTGAATATGTTTGAGTTTTCTCCTGGATGAATATATTTTTTGTTATAGATGGTGCTGTTATTTTCCAGTTAAGTTATATAACAGACTTTAAGGCAAATAGATACTTTCTTTACATGCAAATAATTCACATGCAAATAATATTTGTGCCTGTGTATAAAATTTTGCCAGTGTGCACATGCACATAAAATATTAAAATCCAGTACCATAGTAGGCTTTGACATGGAAATGTCAAGGTTATAATTCTGTAAGCATCAGTTCTAAATTATTAATTTTTCAGAGATAAGATGCAGGTTTGTGATTACTTATTTTACTCTTGGCTTTATTTATAGTTTTTGTGTATAATTTTTAGAAATATTATTTTCCTTGCCTGATGGCTATGGACATATGAACTGACTTTCAAATTGCTACCTTGAAAAATTATTTACAATAATGGCCTTCTTGTGGAAGAGACATGTTTCCTGTTGACCTGCTGAGAACATATTTGAACAGTATTACAGTTAATAAAAAGCTTCATTGACAAGTGCACGGAAAGCAAAGGTGTCTCAAGCAAAAAGATGGTAAAATAGTTGTCTGCAATTTGTTAAAATTATTTTCTGCCACTGTTTTTTCCTTAGGTATTTAATGATCTAAGGCGTAGATTAAAAAAAAAAAATACAATTTTCTATTCAGTTAAAAGCGAAATTTGTTTTTTTTATATTAGAATGAAAATCAGCCAGAATATTCTGTCATCTGATCTTAGCTTTAAAATTGATTCTGTAGGACATCCAAACTTACGATGTATTCTAGGGCATTAATTTTGTTAGCTTCATGGAACAGCGGAAACTACTTTTCAATCCAGTTTCTAGATGGAAAACATAATTCAGTAAGTTGAATTAGTGAGCTGCAGGTTTCATGGATACAGACTGCTAACTGAAAAACATTAATATCCTTTTTTTAAATTTAATTCATTCTGAGGAATAAGAGGAAGGTGACTTAGCAGCTTTCAGTAATTTGAGAGTGTGTGTGTTACCTGAATTGAAGCTTTCACTGAGATTGGAAATCCCTTTGCTGTTCTTTGCGTAGAAATATATCGTTAAAAAAAATAAAGCCAACGATACTTGTTTCAAGAATAATGAAAGATGTAGTATTAAAATGAGTATTATCCTAACTTTTTGAATATATTAAGCAATGAGCTGAAGGTGTTACATTACATTGTGTTGAAATGCAACCTGTTCTCTCTCTCTAATTCTGTAATGCAGATACTCAGCTCACACACAAAATAACTTACTTAGTTAAGCATGAGTTTTTGAATTAGAGTGAACTTGTGTTCTCTTCTGTATGCATCATTTCATAGAATCATAGAATAGTTATGGTTGGAAAGGACCTTAAGATAATCTAGTTCCAACCCCCATGCCATGGGCAGGGACACCTCACACGAAACCATCTCACCGAAGGCTTCATCCAACCTGACCTTGAACACTGCCAGGGATGGAGCTTTCACAACCTCCCTGGGCAACCCATTCCAGTGCCTCACCACCCTCACAGTAAAGAATTTCTTCCTTATATCCGATCTAAACTTCCCCTGTTTAAGTTTTAACCTGTTACCCCTTGTCCTAGCACTACAGTCCCTAATGAAGAGTCCCTCCCCAGCATCCCTGTAGGTCCCCTTCAGATACTGCAAGACTGCTATGAGGTCTCCACGCAGCCTTCTCTTCTCCAGGCTCAACAGCCCCAACTTTCTCAGCCTGTCTTCATATGGGAGGTGCTCCAGTCCCCTGATCATCCTCATGGCTCTCCTCTGGACTTGTTCCAACAGTTCCATATCCTTTTTATGTTGAGGACCCCAGAACTGCACACAATACTCAAAGTGAGGTCTCACAAGAGCAGAGTAGAGGGGCAGGATCACCTCCCTCGACCTGCTGGTCACACTCCTTTTGATACAGCCCAGGATACGGTTGGCTTTCTGGGTTACGAGCACACACTGCAGCCAGCTCATGTTAAGTTTCTAATCTGCCAACACCCCCAGGTCCTTCTCCTTCTCTCTTCAAACTCTTCTCTGCCCAACCTGTAGCTGTGCCTGGGATTGCTCCGACCCAGGTGTAGGACCTTGCATTTATCATGGTTAAACTTCATGAAGTTGGCATCAGCCCACCTCACAAGCGTGTCAAGGTCCCTCTGGATGGCATTCCTTCCCTCCAGCGTATCAACCGAACCACACAGCTTGGTGTCATCGGCAAACTTGCTGAGGGCGCACTCAATCCCACTGTCCATGTCAGCGACAAAGATGTTGAACAAGACTGGTCCCAACACCGATTGCTGAGGGACGCCACTCATTATTGGAATGAGCGGGCAGGGTCGCTCCAGTCGAGGGCTGGCTTTTCTGCTGGGCAGGAAGGTGGGAGCAGCTGCTCCTCCATGCCACAGGCATGCGTGGGCATGGGTCACAGTGCTGCCACTTGCAGCCCCATGCCTGGCAATCGTGAGCTGGGGCGCATGGCATCTCAGAGGCCCCAGGTGAGTAAGGTGGCCACATGCGCAGGTCCGGCGGTGCGCCCTGGTGGGAGCATGTGCGGCCGCGGCAGGGCCTGTCAGCACGAGCCTGCGGTGCTGCCTCAAAATCCGTTGTTACGGATGATGAAAGGAGCATGACAAAGTTGTGGAACATGTGTGTAGCCACCTTGAAGATGCTGTAACATTTTGGGCACAGAATGTCAGTAGGTGTGATGACCCCTTGAAATTAAGTTGTGAGCTGGCAGATGCTTGTCCCAAGGCTAGTGCAGTTTTTGGCAAACCTGATTTTGGTAAGATTTATGGTGGCTTGTCTTTCTGAAGACAGAGTTGGTACAAGTGTATGTTACAGCAAGTGACCAGCAATGAAAAATGTCAGGTATTGTACATAGACTATGGAAATTCTGAGGTTCTGAATAGATCAGACATAGTGGAAATTCCACTGGACTTGCAGTGTCCGAGCATTCTGAAGAAGTACAGACTCCAGGGACTGCAGATACCGGCTGATCAGAATGTAAACATGTTTGATGAGGGGAAGAAGTTCTTGAGCAGCCTAGGTTTTGAAAAAGAAGTAAAAACACATCACAAAGCCAAGTTCTAAGATGGTGCCATCATTGCCCAGGTGGAACATGAAAAGATAGGTAATTGGAGAAGAGGTGGCCAAGGCAGGGTTTGCTCAAAGATGCACATCACCAGGGTACACTAAAGAGGCAGAAGAGAAAAAAGCAGATGTCATGCAAATGCAGAATTGGAAGATGAAGATTTCAGTTCCGCTGTGGTTTAACAGGTCTTGTCACACGATGCACAGCTCCCCAAGAGAGCATGTTGAGCAAGGACCTGCTGGCACCAGGAACTGGAATTTTCCTGGAAACTGGATGTTTGCCCCAAAGGAAAAGGTGCTAGGTTTCACCTCGGTGCCAGACACCAGCTTGGCACACGTAAGACCAGATCAGAAGCTGCCTGAAGAGAAAAAAGTTCTGAGAAGGGAGAATCTGGATCTCTTGCAGAGTATGACTTGGCTCAAGAAATTATTCAGTTATGCACAAATGTGGATGAAAGAGATGAATTGATCAGCATGAGGGATGAGGTGCAGCAGAATTTTTATTCAGCAATGAATTAATTTTGGAAGTGGATCAGCTGCCTCTCTCAGAGCGCTCAAGAACGTTACAGAACTGCTTCTCTGGAGATGTATGATCAAGGTTCTGAAGCAAGTGACTCTGAGAAGGTATTTGAAGAGTTCTTTAAGTGGAAGAGTATTAAAACAGAAATTAATTTGTGTCAAATGATACAGACAGCTCTCTGAGTTCTTGCTGACTGGACTGGTTCACATATATAGGAAAAGGGTATTCATGTTAAAGAATTTATTGTAGATTTGTAATCCTGTTGTCTTTGCTGGGTATGTTTATTTCTAATTGATGTTAATTTCCAGTTCTGTTGATAATGGACTTTGTACAAAGACTTTTTTTATAACCTTATCTGCAGCAGTCTTCTGATGTTAATATTTTTTTAGCATACTTTCCACATAACTTTTGTGATTGAAATCCAGGAAATGCAGGGGGAGAAATACTATATAAAAAATTCACTTGTCAGAGGTGCCTCTATAGATGTTGAAATTTGTAAGGATTATTCTTTGAGCGTGGAACTGCCTGGAACAGAATTATGGTTTTAAGCAAGTAATGACAAAAAAAAACCAACACCCCCCCCCCCCCCAAGTTAAAAATCCCTCCAACTAACACCACAAAACAAATAAATAATTAACACCCCCCCTAGAAAACCTCAACCAATAAACAAAAAAATACTCCAACCAACCAAACCCAAACAAAGCCTGGGATGTATTTCAGGTCTCAACAATCTGGACAACAGAATTTTCAGTGGAGCCTTGAGCCAAACCCTAAGCAACAACAGCAGTATCAAAACTCCCTGTCCTCCCACACATCCCCCTTCCACACTCCCATTAACAAAACCAACCAAACACCCTGTGGCCATATAAAGAAGTATCTTTGCAGTGAGGGAAGTCTGGCTCTTGAGAATATGTAAGATCAAAAGTTGTACGCAGACATCTTTGCTGAGAAAGTCATAGCTTGCTGCCACTTTTGCTGTGGAAACTCTCAGAAGCCATTCTAGACAATTCTTTCTTTCCTGAATGTGGAAACTTGAAACTGAAAATACTGGCTACTACAAGGAAAATGAGCAGGCAGAAGAAATGTAACAATAGAATCATAGAATCGTTAGGGTTGGAAAGGACCTTAAGATCATCTAGTTCCAGCCCCCCTGCTATGGGCAGGGACACCTCACACTAAACAGTATGACACAAGGCTCTGTCCAGGCTGGCCTTGAACACCGCCAGGGATGGAGCATTCACAACCTCCCAGGGCAACCCATTCCAGTGCTCACCACCCTCACAGTAAAGAACTTCTTCCTTATATCCAATCTAAACTTCCCCTGTTTAAGTTTTAACCTGTTACTCCTTGTCCTATCACTACAGTCCCTAGTGAAGAGTCCCTCCCCAGCATCATTATAGGCCCCCTTCAGATACTGGAATGCTTAGGTATGCATTTTAGCTGTGATATGCTTTTCAATATGCTCTACAATAGTAGTATAACTACAGAAAAAAAACCCCTGAAGTAGTTTAAATGAATGTCACCTATACTTGCAGTGTGTTTTAAATTGTGTAAGGTTGACTTGTAGATATATGTATCTCCTATTCCCTGTTTATTTTTGCTTCCTCAGTGTGTCTGTTTTCACAGAATTTTCCATCATAAAATGTTTCTGCATGCCATGCAGAAGTTGGCTTGCTCTGTAGGTACTTAGGTGTTAACTTCCTGGTAAACAGAAACATACCAGTCTGTCTATCTCAGACTAAGTTCTTGCTTCATTTATGCAATTAATATGATAAAATAATGTGTCTAAAAATTCTGAGCTTGTACTTAAATACTAAAATCTAATTAATTCCATACAACAACTTCGGGAGTACCTGCTTGAAACTTGAGGGACTACAGGATGGGTTGGACTAAACTTGAACTGCTTCTTGTACTTCCAGAAAGTTGCTAAGTGTTTCTGTTTCTATTGAGGGAGGGTTAGGTGAACCATTTTCTACAACTTATTTTCCATGAGTTACTGCTTTGCTAGAAGACAGATAGATGGTCTTTTCAAATCAAAACTGCTGATATTCCAGCCATACCTTATTTATTGCATTTTCTCTTTGGAGATTTCACTGGACTTCATACGAAGAAATAAGTGCATAGGTAAAGGTTACAAGCCTTGACAAGGGTGTACATATTTTAAGGCAGACTTCTTTGGTTTTGATCAAAATGACAGTGCTTATGTCTTTGACATCTCTGATAGTAAAGCAGATCAGAATTTTTTTTCCAGCCGCATAGTGACCTTCTCTTCACTACACTATGCCAGACTAAGTTAGATGCTAAAAAAGAATTTGTAGTAATGTTGAACACGCTGCTCAGTGTTGTTTAGCAAGATTATGAAAGCAAATTAGCCTTGTTAGTTTGGGATTTTGGCTTTTCTGTAATTTTGCATTAAGAAGGAGGAGGTGCTATGCTATGCTTTTGTCAATGACATAGTAAAGTAAGCAAATCAGTAAATTTCTATACTCTTGCCTTTTAGCTAGCTATTCCAGGAGCTCTAAAACCTGTTTTTTGTTAAGGAGTAATAGTTAAAAATACAAACATAGAATTATTGAATGTGACTAATTTTTTTTTCTTTTTATCTTGCAGCAACGCACCTCTTGCTTTTTCCTCCAAAGTATGTTATATTAAGTTTCGTGAAGCATCGAGTGTTGGTGTGGCCCAGCATCTAACTAACACGGTTTTTATTGACAGAGCTTTGATAGTTGTGCCCTGCGCAGAAGGTTGGTATTTTAGACGTTTTCTGAAATGTTGTTCTTTGTCAAGTCTGCTAGTTGTGTTAAGCTTTCCATGTAAGGAAGTGGTGCTCTATTGGTGTTTTATTTCATTGCTTTTTGAAAAAAAGTCTTGAAACAAAATCTAAAATGGAACAGAGAGATGGAATTATATAGATTCAATTGCAATTTGGTATTAAAAAAGGTAGTTAAGTTAGGATAATTCAATTTATTACGTCTTTTGAGGGAAAAGAAGATAAATAATTTGCTTCAGTATGGTTTGTGTTGGCAAGCTTATTCTCACACAGAGTTCTCACTGAAGTCAATGGAGCACTGAGAAGATTAGGCAATTTCCTGGCACCAGTAAATTGCAGTTTGGATTTTAATGGATCACCTTTGATGTGGTGTTTTGTTGTTGGTTTGGGGGGGGTGTGTGTGTGTGTGTGTGTGTGTGTTTGTTTTTTTGTTTGTTTAGTTTTGTTGGTTTGGTTTGTTGTGATGTGGGTTTTTTTTGTTTTTTAATTTGTTTGCTTGTTTCTGAGATCCTAATTACTTTTCATTTTTTTAGACTGAATTCTGATTTTATTTTGTAGACATGTAATATATGCATTTAGCCATTTTAGATTGCTCTAATTTAAAATACTTAGTATTCATATTGACAATTACTGTTTGAATATAAATGTTTACCTGCTCTTTCAATTAAAAAAGAATCAATTTTCCTATCTTGTTATTGTAGAAAATATTTGTGAGCCACAAAAAGGTTTTCTTATGTATGCTGGTACTCCTTTTTTAGTTTTATCTCTCTCTTAAAAAATGCAGTCATCTGTACAGAATGCTTCTACCGTAAAATGATTTTAAAACTCAAAATAAAATGCTTGGTGAATACTAGATTTACGAGTATTCCTTTAACTAGCTTTGAGGTCATATTTTTACAGGTATGTTGAATGCAAGGTAATTTGTATTGTTTGTATAATGATGTCCCAGATCAGAATACAGTTATATGAAGCATGGTCCTATGGGAGGCATGTTGCTGGAGTTAGGCAAGGCGCCATTGACTTCATTGGGATCATTGTGGAACTGAGCACCCTCTGTTTGGTTCTGGACTTTTTGACTCTTCAGAGTAGAACATTCCAGCTGGTGGAGTGAACCTGACTTCACTTTGAACATGGTAGCTGTTTTGCCATGAGCAGCAATATTGAGAATGATTGAACCATAAACCATTTCTGGACCATGGAAGTCCAGAAATACCTCCTATGAACATAACTTTTCTAACTGAAGGAGTCAGGGTTTGGTTCAATAAATACTGTTGACTTCTTGGAGTTTGTTAACAGTGGTCCCAGAGTACCATTTTTTGGCATGCTTGCCATGTCATCTGGATAGCATGAGATATGATGTTGCTGTTGTAATGGTCTGGGATGTTTCTAGCAAACTCTGACAAGTTTACAAGTAGACTGTCTTAAGTACTTTCAGTAAAGGCTATATTAACCTGCAATATACTGTCTGTTCTGGTAGTCTTCTTAATAAGGACATATGGCATGTATATTTGTCTTTGTGAAGCTTAGATTTTTTAGTTGCTTTCATATCTTGTTTTCGGGGGCTTTTTGGTTTTATTTTTTGAATTTTTTCTTCAACCACAAAGAGAATATTGCTGTATCCACTTGAAGCTGTGTAGAGGCTAATGTGGAACTAGAGTCATTATTATTAAAAAATTTCCCCTAAATAATAGACTACAAATTATTCAGGATCTTAGTTTTACATTTCATTGAAAAGACCTTAACACTGGTTCAGTACTGCCAGAGAGGGATGGTTGCCACCTAATGAATGAACGACGCTTCCTGGTGGTTTTCTTGTGATGACATCACTGCCTGATGTGATATGGCAACAGGCAGGTAAAGCTATGTTTTCCTGTGTCTCTTGATAGTAGACAATGAGTGGCAAGAGAATAAAATCAATGTTCTGGCTAATCTTGTTCCAGCCCCATTTTTAACTGACATATTGGGCATTCCTGAGAAAATGTATTATAGAATAATTGACACTGTTCAAAAGGATTCTGGACCCCATAGAGATGTATGCATAATTAGGTAAACAAGTGATTGAGTTGAGAGGTCAGTTTTTTTTAATGTCAAAATGGTGTTTCCATGTAACTTTATAACAGAATCACTAATTTTAAAGATGTGAATTTATATAAATTCACATAACTTTCTGCGGAATATATTGTGTGGAGTAAGTATGGCTTTGGAGAGCACAAAGTAAGATTTTCGACTGACTATTGTGTGATGAGGAATAGCCAGTGGAGTGCATCATGGGCTTTGAAAGTAGTGATGGTTATATTCTGCCAGGAGTTAAAATTATATCCTTGGCCAGTGGTGCCAGTAATAAAACATTTCATGTGCCAGATTGAGCATAGGAAAGAGGTAAAAGGGAGCTCTGAAAACCTGGTTTTAAAACTCAAAATCTGAAATTTGAAGTGTATTTAAACAGTGGTAAATCGAGGGAGTATGAGGAGGTAATCACTATACAATGAAAACATAATGTTAATTTTGTGATGTTTAATAAACAATTTGGCAAAAATGCAATTGTAACATTAAGCTGTCAGAATATGACTTATGTATGTGTGAATGGGTAGGTTTTTCTTTGAACATTATTCTTTGAGAACACAAAGGTTGAAAGATAAAGATACCACCCTAATCATTCTAAATTTTATGTCCACATTATCTGGTAGATGGATTTTGACTATTAATTTGGTTTTATATGTTTTCTCTGTGTGATATTTGTGCATTATTAGATGACTAGACTGGCCAAGGCAGACCTGTTACACTTGCCTGAGTTAGGCATTGTTTGCCATGCCACTAAACCTGCCGCCAAGTGAAACCTTCATGGGGGAAATGAGATCGAAGTCTGGCCTGCTGAAGATGGACGCCCTGTCTCTGTTTTTATTTTATTTTGATTTCTTTCCTTTGTTTCTTTTTATTTTGATTTTGTCCCTTTTTTTTTCTTCTTTTTGTTTTGTTTTGTTCTGTTCTGTTAAATCTCTTTCCCTTGTACTTGTGAACTGGTACTTCAGTTCTGTAAAAATGGTGTTTTGTAAAGGGTTCACAGTGTTTCATTTTGAAGTTGACCTGAAGCTGCTTATGAATGGTGGATGGTATACACAGAATTTAGAGCATGATTTATGTTGTGAATTACAGGTAAATTTGATTTTGAATACGTTTAAGCATCTAAATTCAACAGATAAACACATTGTGTCAGGATCCAGGAACAGCGAAAAACCGTTTTAAAATTTATTCTCTCATATGTTGTACTTCATGAGTTTATCTTGGAAAAGAGTAGTTAAAACTCATACTTCGTGGAGAAATTAACTTTACGAAGTAGAGTCATGATCTTCCTCTGCTGTTTTTCCCCTTAGCAGAGTAGTTTTAGGTTGCGCAGTCTGTTTAGAAGAAGGCTTACTGTTTGTGACTAATATGAACAGTTTAATTAGTTCTGAAATTGAACTTTCATGAATATTGAATGCTGTGAAATACTAGTTTGCTTCTGATGAAACCTTGCTCCAGTGAGGTCAGTGGCAGTAAGATTTCATCCTTCTGTTTTTGTAATTTTCAGAAAAAAACTGTTTACCACTCATAAGTACAAATGCAGCCTGAAGTTTTGGTTGGAATGTGTTATGTGAGGCACATTGTCTTTCAACACTGTTATTTGTGGGGAGATTGAATCAGTTCTCCATGTGTGTATGTATGTGTATATTGCACTTTGACATGCTACAGTGGTGGTGATTTCAAGAAGAGGTCTTTTTTTAAAAAGAAAGATAGCAAAAAGTGTCTTCTTGGTCATCTCACAATGTGACAAACCCTGGCAGTTCATGCTGGAGTGATTGAGAAAGTTCTTGTCTGTAAATGATGTTCTTGTAAAATGGAAGTGGTGGACCAGGTGGTGTGTCTAGTCCTCAGGCATGGCTCTTCCCACCCTGCTGCATAGGAATTGGTTGGTTTCACTCTGGTAATGCGGCAGGCTGTGCAGTGCAGCTGGAAAGAGCTTTGTTTAGTGATCTCTGTTGGATTTAGCGGTGGCAGTTGAGGTAATTGCCCGTACGTGTAATCTCTTTAATCACTGCTGCTAAATCTGATAAGGGTCATGAACTGGATCACACAGAAATTATTTTTAAGTCTGCAGTTTTCACTGATTAAAAATAGCAGGAAAATATCAATTTCTTTAATTACATTTACAGTAGATTTGAACTGTAAGTATTTTTAAAACAAACTTATTTTAGAAGCAGTTTGGGGAGGGAGGGCGGAACTAGCCATGTAGTTTCAGTACAAAGAGCAGGAAATTAATTTCTTCTGAGCACTTGGAACGGAATAAAAATACTATGATTAGTACTTGCCTAACACAGATACTTCAGTATTTAGCAAAATGGATTGCAGCATGGGCAAGGATGACTAGGGCTCTTGAGCACTTTGATACAAAAAAGTAACAATCATAACTAATATTTAGGACAGCTGTACATTACATTTCCTAGGAAGCATAAGGTGTCTCTAGGCAATGCAGAGCTAATTTATATCTGCTTCCAGATTTCTATGCAAATGAAGAATCAAGAAATAAATTATCATAGAAACCATATTTCCTAAACACAAGAACTTCCAGGAAACCGTTTTAAGGATGTATAGGTGTGGCATATTTATTTTTTCTGTTTCCCTTATTAGAAAATAAATATCTTTACCTCATTTTCATTCAGCTTTTAAATACTGTGAGTTTAAAAACAAAACAGTTATTTGTAAAGTAAAATGACCTAATTTGCCATGTCATAACCCACGTTTTGTTGTATCTTTGTGGACTTGTATTCCTTTATTATAAGTAAACTCATGGAGATAAAACTCCGGAATTTAAACGCTGTAAAAAGTGAGGTTATTTGGCCTCACATACTAATTTGTTATGGGTTTGTTTTGTTGTTGTTTTTTTTTTTAACTGTGTAGAGAACAGGGAAGTATATTTGCAAGATATTTCAGGTTTCCTTCCCCCCCCCCCCAAGACTGAGTTTAATTTCTACAGAATTTTTTAACAGTTTGACATGGTCTTCACATGTAGAGAAGGATCTTTTGAGAAGGCAGTATCTTTGAATATTCAGGCAAATTTTCAGGGTTCTGTCTGTCAACACAGATGCTTTATCATTCTTGAATTAATGCACAAATCCTTTTTTTGGGCATGGAACTGACCACCTAGATTTTGGTACATTACGAAGGGCCAAAGTATTCTGGAAATAATGCTGCTAACTTCAGATACGCATGTTGTTAAATCTTTGAACTGCTGTAATGGTGCACTTAAACAAAAGTTGTTACTTGAGCAACATGAGTAATGCCAATTACCTCTGTAAGATGAACAATATACTTACAGCTTAGGCTTGTATTTAAGTAGCTGTCTGAACTTGGCTCATTGTCTGTTATGTGCCTAACTCAGTTCCTACTTAAAAGGGCTGAATGCCTAAACATGTCTTAAATTTATCTGATTAAGTATATATTGAATTGGCTGTATGTAAGCACATACTTAAATTAGGCATATACTTATGTACATTATTGGACAAGGATCTAAATTACAATGCAGACACACCACTTCAGGAGCCATTTCCACCATTGGATTTACTTGATCCATGTCTGTTGATCCTGTAGAAACCTGCATGAGTATCCAGTGAATTGCAAGATGCTGGTTGTTCAGGATAAGGTCTGGTTCATTTATCATTTGAAAGTGCTTAAATACTAAGATTTTTAGAAGAACTAGTATGTAATTCTATGCCTAATTTGCATGCACAGCTGCTGGAACTATATTTGAAAGCCTGTTAGTGAGCTACACAATAGGCAGGATGTACAGTGAAGTACCTGATACTCATGCGCAGTTAGGCAGATCATGTACACCTCTTGTTGCATGTCTGACTTCAAAATGGGATCTATAAAGAGTGCTGAACATTGTGATGATGACTCAGATTCATGCATGGGTTTTTTTTTTTTGTTTTGTTTGTGTTTTGGTTTTTTTTTGTTTTTTTTTAAGCCCTGGAAATCGTTATTGCACAGTTAATTATTAACTGCTAATAATTTTCCTATTTTTCTCCTTTTGATAGCAAAATCAAGTGGTTTGTTACATGTTAAGGAACAAGGTGCCTCAAAATTTTACATAAATGTAAATAGGAAGCATGAGAAAAAATGGGTACTGTTTTTAATTTTCTATTCCACCCATGCTACATACACATTAAGTTTCATTTAGATTTGTTTTGTCGTTTGGTGACACTCAACTGTAACCCAGTCCTTGTTGCAGATCTGTAGAACAGGTTTCCTTACTTTAATTTTTTTAAAAGTAGATGTTTCCTGTGGAGTCTATAGGAACTTGTATGGCTAAAGAAGCACAGTATTTTGAAACTTACCTTGTATTTTGCTTTTTTGATAAGAATATTTATATACTAATTTTTAAACCCTGAAGGTGGGGGTTTTACAGTTTAAGTATACACAGTTTGAACCAAAGCAGTAAAAGCCACTGGTGCAGTATTTGTATATACCTTGACTTTTAAAACAGTGTTTAAATAAAAGCATTTACTTTAATAAAGTGCATACCGAAGGGCTTAGTTGGATAGCATATATACAATTATGCCAGTAATTTTGAATAGATCATAGGTATCTAGTGTAATCAGAACTTTTCTGTAGTTTTACAGTTTAGTGTTTGATGTTTGTGCCAGTTTAAATCCCTTTACATTTCAAATTTAATATGTACATATAATTGTAGTTATAATTGTTTAACTATTAAATCTTAATTTTTGAAGATTTGGGGTCATTTAGCGGTCTTAATTGTGGCCAATGTTGAATGAAACTTCCGTTTAATTCAGATTAGCTATTACTTAAACTTCTAGCATGACAGGGGCAGTATAACCTGGATGAAATAATGGAAAATTGATATTTTGGGAAAATATAGCTTGCTTACCTGATCAGTTGCAATTTTTTTCAATCTTAATAAATTTAAATCTTATTTATCAGAGTTTCGGGTAAACTGAGGTGAGCTAGAATGTGAGACAGTACCAGCTGAGTTTTTTCTGCCCTCCCCTCTTCCACCTCTGACTTCACTTGTAATGTGTGTTGAGTGGAGTCACAGTAGTTTAGTAGTATTTTTTTATTATTTTATTTTTACATCCAAAGTAGGTATCACCAGAGGAATTAAAAAAATAAAAGCTCAGACAACAAAAACAAACACAAATTTCAGTTAGCACGTACTTTGTTTTTTCTTTTCTTTTTGTTTTACTGGTTTGGTTATTTGCCATTTCTGGGGATTAAACTTTAAAAAATGTTCTTCTTTTCTGTATCTGATGTTCTGTGTGCTATTAGTGATGCAGCCAACACGAACGGTTGTCATGTGTAAAACAACTTTCGATCACCGCGAAAACACCGCCCTGGGAAAGCGTCCATGCTTGATATCGTTTGGTTCATGAACATTAAGTTTCCAGTACAGGTGACCCATAGCTCAAAGTGTTAAATAATTGTATACATTATTCAGTTTTAAAAATAATCATTAATGAGACTGCTAGTCTTTGAAGTTTTGCTCACTTTTGTTTTTCCTAGTAGAGGCAGGGTAAAAGGAAAAACTTAAGTTCTTATTTGTTTCTTTGTAAGGATCTGGTAGATAGATTCATTGTTATTTATTACATTTTTAAATACAAGGGTAGTTGTAAAATCATAGAAAGAGTAACATCTGTGTAGTGTTCCAACTCTGTGTAATGCTTTCATTTGCTTCTTCAGGTAAAATCCCAGATGAAGCCAAAGCCCTTTCCTTGTTGGCACCTGCTCCTACTATGACAAGTCTGATGCCTGGTGCAGGGTTGCTTCCTATACCTACACCAACTCCTTTGACTACAGTAAGCAAAATTCAGCTGCTGTTTGATTTCTGGTTTCCTTTGTACTCAGTAGCCTTTTCTGTGTTTAGAGAGCAAGAACTATTTGGTCCATGGATCTCTTGTTGTGTCATTTTTAATTTTTGTCTTTCCCTAGACCCATTAATTTGGTTCAATGGCAGTGCTTTCCACTTCCTAAAAATTTGTTAAAGCGTAGTTACATTGACACAGTTCTTAGGAGTATTAAAATGCTGCATTAGGGTGCTTTAATTGTTATCTGTACAACAGGGCTTTTGACTCTTTTGCCTCACCATGTTTTCAATACAAAGAGCATAGGAGCTACCTGGTGCTACTTCTGTTTAGTTCCACTTTGCCTCTGTAAGTCTTTCTTGACATCAGCAGGCTTCTGTGACCTATTCAGGGGAAAAATCAAGTTAAAATAGAGTAGTTTTCTCTTTTGTTGCATTAAAAAAAAAAAAGATAAAATTGGTGCCTAGTTGAGAATTTCTCATATTTATTAGAAAATTTGTTTGCTGGAAAGGCAGTTGCTTTTTGAGTGGAGAAAATAAAATTCAAACCAGGAGCTCAGCAGACCAGTTTAGTAGTGATTTTTAAGTGAAAGAGAACTGTATTGTCCTTGTTCTTTAGGAAGTGACTGTGTTTGTAGGAAAAGAATTTAGGCTTAATATCCTTCAGATTTCAACTGTAATTTATTTTGCCTTTCATGATGTGTTGGTTGAAAAAGTACCTTTATTTGTTCCTTTGATGGACTGATACCTATTACTGAAAAAATTGGTCTTAGGCACTGCAGATTGCCTATTTCCTGTGCTGAACAAGGGCTCAGCAGTTCCTTACCTACTTTTATACTTGTTGTGGGGGAAAAAAAAAAAAAGTAAAAAAAAAAAAATATGAGCAGTGTCTGGAGGTGTCTCAATCAAATTGATCGGCTGTTAGAAATTCAAGCCAATTTGTTTTCTGATTGATGCAGTACATTGCTGGCCAGACCTCTTTAATAAGATGTTAACTAATAGTGCACAGAAAATTGTAACTATAGGAAATTATTTATGCATTGATTTTTATTCTTTAAAAAAAGTGCTCAGCTGGGACCTTAAAGTATTGCCTGTATTCATTAGATTTATTTTTACAGAAATGCACAAGACAAGCATGTGTTACAAACAAGTGTTAATAAGTGAAGTATCTTCCACCAGTGCTTGGTTGCAAAGCATATTCAATTTTTGTGTTTTCCAGCTTGGTGTTTCACTTGGCACTTTGGGGGCTATACCAGCAGCAGCATTGGACCCTAACATTACGGCTCTGGGAGAAATACCACAGCCACCAATTATGGGGAATGTGGATCCATCCAAAATTGATGAAATCAGGAGAACAGTCTATGTTGGAAACTTGAATTCACAGGTAGCTGTTTTTTGTGTAATGGAAATAATAATGGAAAGTGTAGAATTGCAATTTATGAATTCTAATCTTACATGTTAAAAAGTTTTTGTTGATAACAGTAAGAATTAAAAAATAATAATTTTTTTGGTTACTAGTGGTATTTTGAATTTTGAATGCTCCTGTGCCGATCAGATCAAACTGTGGAGCATTCTGGCAGGACATGAAAGTCCTCTGTAGCTGAGTTGCAAAAGCATACTTACAATTTTGTGTGTTGATCAAATGTACAGCTGGGTTGTGTTAGCTGAGCAGTGCCTCTGAAGTCATGAGATCAACACTGTGCAATGGCTCAGCTATAGCAAGGTGGAATGGTGTGTCCTACTGGAAGTTGATAAATTAGCGTAAATACTGTTTAGCATAATTAGCATAAATACTATGCTAGTACTAGTTTCTATAACATGAAAGTTAGGTCTGTCAGAAACTTGGTGGTTGGTTTTAGTTTTTTTTTTAGCAGTTGATTGAATTAATTGAAAAACAATTGGCTTGTGACTGATGGCAGTGTAAGTATTTTATTTGGAGGTTTTTTTGACTGCTAAATTAGCTACTAGAGTGTGGAAGTACTACTGATTGGAATAAAATAAGCTGGAAGCTAGTAGGAAAGCATATAAAAGCTAAGTCTTGTGATATTGTTTGGACTTTAATTGATCAAAATTCACAATCAATATCTTGGACACAAGTGTGTAAGGAAGTTCCTTATCAGTTATTTCAGATCAGTTGCCTGAAAAGCACACAACCCTCTGCAAATGCTTTTTAAACCTAGATGTAGGACTTCAGAGCTTGTGGTTGCACTATTTTGACTTGTATATTCTTTAGATTAATGGAAGAAAAATACCAAATTCATGTTACCTGCATAGTGATAGTGAGATATCTTTCCAAAATCTGTAGCTCTTAGATGGCCTGATATACTGGATAAGTGGTTTTCATTGTATATTTCACTTCAGCTGAGCTCTTTGACTCTTTCTAGACTACAACAGCAGATCAGCTGCTTGAATTCTTTAAGCAAGTTGGAGAAGTCAAATTTGTGAGAATGGCAGGTGATGAGACACAACCAACAAGATTTGCTTTTGTGGAGTTTGCAGACCAAAATTCTGTACCTCGAGCTCTTGCCTTTAATGGAGTTATGTTTGGAGACAGGCCACTGAAGTAAGAAATTAATTGTCTGTATGACTGTTGAATGGGAGATTTCTTTCTTTGCTTCTACATTTATGATTTTGATGTACAGGAAACTGCTGTCATGAATATTTTTTTCAATATAAGGACCTATTAGCAAAATGGAACATTTTCATAAAGTCCAGTTTCAAAGTTTCTTTCAGAAGAATATAAATGGCATAAGTCTTTAGTACTAATTAAGATTTCTGTATGATGTATATGTAATTAGTAGGCCTTAACATAGAGATTTGATCTGAAATAGAGAAATAGATTCCTAGACTTCAAGTAGAAAATACTTTAACGCAGAAATATTGTTCTACATTTATTTAAACATGGTAAGATTTGAAAGCAATAAAAGACATTTCTGATTCTTAGAACAGAAAAGCTTGAGGACTCATCTGTATTTTTTATGAACTTTGAAGTTTTTAATTGTACTTGGAAGTTGAGGTGTTTTCTTAGTTGTTTTTTCATTTTCAAGTGTTTGAGATTTAAAGGTTTTACTTTTCCTAATTTAGAATAAATCACTCCAATAATGCAATAGTGAAGCCTCCTGAAATGACACCACAAGCTGCTGCCAAGGAACTGGAAGAAGTGATGAAGAGAGTCAGGGAAGCCCAGTCTTTTATATCTGCTGCTATTGAGCCAGGTAGATATATTATGCTCCTTACCTAGCAGACACATTTTGTGTGTACCTTGGCAAGTGCTTTAAGAGCATTTTCAAACATGGGGAAAAAGGTACTTGAAGGTGAACAATTAAGTGTTGGCAAAAATTAAAAATAATCAAAATTGTGTTAGTGCAACAAAGCAGTGGAATGAAGCTATTTCATTGTGTCTTATTTTCAGATACATGCTCACTGAATGTTTTAAAAAATTCAAAGTTAATTCTAAATTAATAAGTAATGTTTCTTTTTAAGTTCAAAGTGCTTACAAACTTGGAAAATATTTTACATTTTGTTTTGTACTCCTCTGACATCTTTTAAGAACATAGCTTCATGATCAGAGGGAGCTAGCAGGGTTCTGAAAGCAGGGACATTATGCTTTCCTTGTCTGCAGCGAGTTAATTTTGTCCCCGTGCTATGCTCTTTTGTGCTGGCTCAAGACTCTGTGCATCCTCATAGCAAATGACATCAGAGTAGGAATCTGGGGTAGAACTTAACATATTGTAAAGGACATTTTTCATCCAGATTGGTTTCTTAATCCCTGTTAATACTGAGATGCCAGGTCAGGAGGAAGGCATTAGTGGGTTGAGAGGTTAGACATTTCATTGCTGATTTATGCTGATGTAAACTGATTGCAGAACCACAGCATAAAAAAATTCTCAATTGTTAAACTTGCAGTTGAAATTGTCCTTTTTCATTAGCAATATTTTGCCATTCTTCTTGCCAACAAACCCAGACATTGTCTTAACGTAAGTTAGATACTCTGGAGTCTTGAGGTATTTTTTTTTGGGGGGGGGGGGTGGGGGTATGGTTGAGTATTATGGTGGTTTTTTTAGGGTTGGAAGAAAAGTGACTCTAATGTTTCCTCAATGTCAAGCAGATGAATAACAGTCTTTTAGCATATTAGCCAAAATCTGGGGAGGTCACAGTAAAGGTTTCTATTGACTTCCTCGTGCCTTTTGGATCAGACATTTCACTCTGTTCTCTCCATTTCTTTAAAACAGTGTTTGAGGAATAAAACTTCAATATTTATTATACAGAGGTTGAAAAATCCAAAAAAAAGTACAGGAAGTGCTAATTACTGTTTACATTTTATGCTTGTTTTCAAAATTGTGTCCTCTAAATTCTTCTCAGGTTATTTTTAAAAACGTGTTGTGATCTTGTGCATTGTGGCAGCAACATAAATCCCATTCCTATAGAACTAGCTGTTTATAATTATCTGGTTTATGTGTACTGCTGCAGGATGGCTGCACTCAACGAGTATATGCAATGACTTTCTTGGATGTTTCTGAAGGATATTTGCAAAGAAGGAAGATGTGCAAAGAGTAGGCCCCTTGCACTATATGTGGTACATTCCACTTGTGCCAGATTGTTAACTGGGATCTTTAAATGTTCTGAGCTTACACTGCAAAGTGGTTTTTTCCTCTCAGAGTCTGGAAAGAGCAGTGAAAGAAAAGGCGGCCGATCTCGTTCCCATTCTCGTTCAGAGTCCAGGTCTAGCTCAAAATCCCGATCTAGGAGGAAAAGATCACACTCAAAACACAGGTAAGTGTGGGTTTTATTTTGCACTAAGAGATTTGAAAAGTCATGGCAGTCGGGTAAAGTTCCCGATGACTGGAAAAAGGGAAATATAACCCCCATTTTCAAGAAGAGGAAAATGGATGACCCAGGGAACTACAGACCAGTCAGTCTCACCTCTGGGCCTGGCAAAATCTTGGAGCAGATTCTCCTGGAAGGCATGCTAAGGCACATGAAAAACAACAAGGTGGTTGGTGACAGCCAGCATGGCTTCACTAAGGGGAAATCCTGCCTGATCAATTTGGTGGCTTTCTGTGATGGGGCTGTGGGATTGTGGGACAGGGGTAGAGCAGTTGATGTCATCTACCTGGACTTGTGCAAAGTGTTCAACACTGTCCCACATGACATCCTTGTCTCTAACTTGGAGAGACATCAATTTGATAGGTGGACCACTTGGTGGATAAAGAACTGGCTGGATGGCCACACACAAAGAATTGTGGTCAATGGCTCAATGTCCAGCTGGAGACCGGTAACGAGTGGTGTCCCTCAGGGATCGGTGTTGGGACCAGTCTTGTTCGACATCTTTGTCGCTGACATGGACAGTGGGATTGAGTGCGCCTTCAGCAAGTTTGCCGATGACACCAAGCTGTGTGGTTCGGTTGATACGCTGGAGGGAAGGAATGCCATCCAGAGGGACCTTGACACACTTGTGAGGTGGGCTGATGCCAACCTCATGAAGTTTAACCATGCCAAGGGCAAGGTCCTACACCTGGGTCAGAGCAATCCCAGGCACAGCTACAGGTTGGGTGAAGAAGAGATTCAGAGCAGCCGTGCGGAGAAGAACTTGGGGGTGTTGATCGATGAGAAACTTAACATGAGCTGGCTGCAGTGTGCGCTCACAACCCAGAAAGCCAGCTGTGTCCTGGGCTGCATCAAAAGGAGCTTGACAGCAGGTTGAAGGAGGTGATCCTGCCCCTCTACTCTTTCTCTCGTGAGACTTCACTTGGAGTATTGTGTGCAGTTCTGGTGTCCTCAGCATAAAAAGGATATGGAACTGTTGGAACAAGTCCAGAGGAAGGCCACGAGGATGATCAGGGGACTGGAGCACCTCTCATAAGAGGATAGGCTGAGAAAGTTGGGGCTGTTGAGCCTGGAGAAGAGAAGGCTGGGTGGAGACCTCATAGCAGCCTTGCAGTATCTGAAGGGAAGCTATAGAGATGCTGGGGAGGGACTCTTCGTCAGGAGCTGTAGTGAATAGGACAAGGGGTAATGGGTTTGAACTTAAACAGGGGAAGTTTAGATTGGATATAAGGAGGAAGTTCTGTACTATGGGGGTGGTGAGGCACTGGAATGTGTTCCCCAAGGAAGTTGTGAATGCTCCATCCCTGGTGGTGGTCAACGCCAGGTTGGACAGAGCCTTGGGTGAGATGGTTTCGTGTGAGGTGTCCCTGCCCATGGCAGAGGGGTTGTGATTCTATACTGAAGGTTTTTGAGGTGGTGATGGTTACTGATACTTCTTACTGAGTTATAAGACAAGTACCCTTGCAGAAATTACTAACTTACACTGTACAGATCAGAGTAACCAGGAGCTTTGTCTCTGAACAGATACTCTTTCTCTCCAAATTCTAAATGTTTTCAGGATTGCTTTCAGTTAAAACATACTAAAAGGCATTTTCTGTGTCGCGTAACAATTTCTGTGGTTTCATGGTACATTTTGTGAGAGGTAGCATCATGTTACCGTCTTGTGACCTGTATTTTAAAAGAAAATAGTAAAATTATTTTGCATATTGTGCATTTAGTTTACTGTTAATAGCCTGTCATAGTTTAAGCCCAGCTGGTAACTCAGAACCACACAGCCACTTGCTCACTCCCCGCTTTTCCTCCTCCCGCTCCCGCAGGGATGGGGAGGAGAACTGAAAAAATGTAACTCCCACAGGTTGAGATGAGAACAGTCTGGTATCTAAGGTATAACACGAAACTAATACTGCTACCAGCCATAATAATAATGATAAGGGAAGAGCAAGGGAAGAGAACACAACCACTCACCACCCGCCAACCAGTATCCAGCCCAACCTGAGCAGCAGTCTAGCCCTTCCAGGTAGTTCTCCCCAGTTTATATACTGGGCATGACGTGCTGTGGTATGGAATACCCCTTTGTCTAGTGTGGGTCAGGTGTCCTGTCTCTGCTTCCTCCAGGCTTCTCCTCCTCCCTGGCAGAGCGTAAGACTCAGAAAGGCCTTGGTCAGAGTAAACATTACTTAGCAACAACTAAAACTGTTGGTTTTATTAGCGTTGTTCCCAGGCTGAAAGTCAAAAACACAGCACTGCACCAGCTACACCCTGAGCAGATAGGCTGGCTAATTTTTCTAGTAGAAATGTCCCAATGTCCTGAACTTCTAAATACTGATTTAGTGAATGCAGTATTTTTACTTACTGTACTGTAATGTAAAACTATGGCTTTTTAAAGCATAAGAAAAAGGCTTTACAGGTAACTTTTCATTCTTCAGTTTTGTTTGCTTTGCTAAATTCGTTCAGTTCCAAAACAGGCTTTGGAATGTGGGAGGAAATAAAATTCCTAGATTATCATTAAGACTTGGTTTGTTTTTTTTTTTAAATGATTTATCACTGTTACAGTGTATTTTGAAAATACGCTGAAAAAAAGGACAGTCTGATACACTGAGGCTACTTAATCACTAAGAGTAAACTATCTTCACAGATTTACTGTTTTATAAAATACTTTTAATCCCTATGATATAAAATTGATTCACGGTCTTATTTTGGCTCAATCATAATTAATTTGCCGTGTTGTTAGTTTGTGCTGATAAGGGAAGCAAAGCCGTAGGTAAAAAAGATGGTTGCTTCTCCTCTTGGCTTATATGTCTCTGTGTCTTGAGCTCCAGAAGACAGGTTGAACTGGTATTTTTTGTACCTTCATGTTCTTCAGGACTTACTGGCATTTCTGTCTTTGGTAAGGTAAACATAGCACCATAACCTCTCAGGCAAAGTGTCTAATGATGTGGGGTTTTGAAACTTTATGTTTAAATCCAGCTTTTTATTTTGCTTTCCTAGGGAGTATGATCTTCATAAAAAAGGGAATATTTTGGAAAAAAAATACAGTACTTAAAAAGTCTTAATTTCTTCATCAAATCTGTGACTACGTATATCAGAAGACTTTAATTGAATTTTTGTCAGTATCTGCACGTTATTTGCCTTACGTATTTATCATTTAGTAAATGCTCATTCCTTCAGAATTCTTATAATGGAAATCCATGCTAACAAAGCTTTTCAACTGAAAAAATAACATGACTAAATGCCTGAATCACAGATAGTGTTTGTTCTTGAGGTTTGGGTTTTTTTTTTGGTTGGTTAGTTTGGTTTTTTTTAAAGTTAATTTAAATAGAAATTCTGGAGACCAAGGCAAAAAGAGACTAGTTAAAGTCATCTTTCTTGAGTGACCAAGACTGCAGTAAGTTACTAGGCCTGGAAAAGAAACAAAATCTAACTAATTTTTTTTTTTCAAGCTGCTAGCAATTGTCTGCAGTAGATTTTATGCACTGTAATTCTGTAATTTACTAAGGACAGATACTCTAATATGATATGAATTAATATTTTCCAGAATGTTCATAGAGGTTATTAGGAAACATGGGTATTACCTAAATGGTGCACTTGTTTCAAAGGAGGGCTTTTGCAGCTGGTGAATCATAACGCATAAGCAAAAATATATACACAGTATATTACTGAGGTGTAACTCTTCTATAGTTTTATGTAGCGAGGCAAGATTTATGGGTTTTCCCTTTGTTGATTGACCTAATTTCTATGAAGTTTCAATTTTAAACTATTTTTCTTCTGGCATTGTTAATATAGATCTGGCAACAGATCAGTCTCAAGACACAAGGACAGACGCAGATCCAGAAGTCCTGTGAAAAAACGTTCTAGATCTAGGGAAAGGCGGAAATCAAGAAGTCGCTCTCGTTCTCGGTGAGTTCCATTCCTATGAAATGATACTGTTGCTCTCAGTACACAGTATAGAGTACTTGAAAAAAATCTAGGAGACCTTTCAGGTGATGGTAAAGGGTGGAATCTCTTAAATACTTTAGCCTCTCCGTAGGCTTTATCTGTGGGACAAAATAATAACAAATTTTAATGCAGCGTGTACTGGTTTTAGCTGGGATAAAGTTGATTTTCTTCATAGTAGCTCATATGATGCCTGTGGAGGTTAAACTACCATACTAAGGTACCTAATCTTTGATAATCTAGTCTACAATTACAGTAATGTACAAACTGACTGAAAACAGCTAGCTTTAATTGCCAGACTTTAACCAATAGATTGAGAATTTTCAGTAGCATGTGCAGCCCACAGAAAAGTGGAGGATGATTGTTCAGTCTTTATCTGTTGAGAAGATTGGATTCAGGATGAACTTGATATCACATTCTGAGAACATGTATAAATTTTTTGTGCACAAGCCTTTATTGTTGCCTTTGGCTATCCTATTAGCCATATGGTGCTGTGGACACGAAATCATGTGTCTGTTACAGTATATTTGCATTTCAGGATCTAATAGATCGGTATTTTAGCTAGTCTGTTCATTTTTAAGTCTGGTAGGCTAATTATTGAACTGAGAAATTCCAACAAGATAACATAATTTTCTGAGGGATGAAGTGGTTAATATTCACAAAACAAATGTCCCTATGAAAGTAGCTTCATGAATAGAAGTCTTGGTACTTTTCTTTCTGTTTCATCTCTGTAATTCCCCTGATTGATTTAAAGGGAGCTTCATGCTTAGGTTGTGCAGTGGCCTCATATGTTTTGAGGGAAGAAGTTTTGTGGAAAAGAGAATTGCAGATCTTTGGACATTAGTGGAAACAGGAATAAGTTACCTAACTAGCTGGGCCTTATTGGTGTATCTTTTGATTCTCTGATGCTCTTTGGAGCTTTTTGAGATACCTGCTTACTGGAAGGGGGAAGTTCAATAAAATCTCTGTGATACATTATGTAAAAGGCACTCCTTGGCTAATTGTGAGACTGCTACTGCAGCAGTTGTGTGTTGTTTCGTCTTCAAGATCTTACATTCTTTTTCTGAGACTTCTAGGGAAGCAAAATTGTCAGGTCACAGAGCATACAACAGCCTACTATTTTATTAGCAGTTTTGAGGAAGAGACAGCTAAGCACTCCTTTTCTTGAAGAAAGGTAGGAGCTCTGCTTAGGACCTTTTGTGTGTGGAGGAGTCTCTTTACCAAACTTTAAAAATCCTAGAATAGGTACCAGTACCAGTAGACACACCAACTTCTGTCAGTCCAGTTCTCTTGGACATGCAAAGGCCTGCTAATCAACTTCACTTCTTGTGCTTTCTCTCTCTGAAAAATTGTTCATTTTCATCTGTCTGAGGGGCAGGTCTAGGAGTCATGAATCTGTGCTAAAAAAGAAAAAGATGGAGTATTGCACTTCCAAATAATGCTATACAGAAATGCAGTCTTGCAGCCAAAGCTCTGAGCTAATCAGTTTTTGTTTGCCTGGATGACAAGAATATCAGTTGTAATTTTCCTCGCTTTTCTTTTTATGAACATGCATCATACTGCCTGTCCCAAAGAAGCTGACTTTTTCTTTTGTTCTTGCTTCTGGTTTTCGTATATTACTGTATTAACAATTTTTCAACAACTTCTGAATTCCTAGTGACATTACAGATGACTGAATTGTCTTGAGTTTTGACCTTACATTTGCTTTTCAAGGGAATTCGTTTGGTGAAATTCTATTCCTGTTAGTTTATTTCTGTGTATTAATTGGTGTTGGATTTCTAAGCAGTTCCAGGATATCTGTGTGAGAGAACACTGTAGAATAAAGACTTATGTCAATCAGCTGTCATTAATCATGTGGGGCTTGTTAATCTGCAATCCGTTTTGTGTGGACACACTTTTAGTAAAGAGTGGATTTACAGACTTTAGAGTTTGTCTCCTGACAAAATGCAGAAAGTTTATGTATGTATAACGTAACTGTGAGGTGAAGAGACATGTTCTCTCCAGGTGTAGTAACATTGCTCTGAAGATCACAGTTCGAGTTGATTTTGGCCTCCCCTTCTCCAATTTGGTTTCCAAATTTTTTTTAGCTATATAACATTTCCCTCACACTGAACAGGGCTGGAAATGTAGAATACTGAATTATTTTCAACAGAGACTCATACCTTATCTTGAGCAGTTAATGTACACTAAAGAGTTGTAGTTTTAATTGGAAGTTTAAGGATGAATTAATGTATTTGTGTTTGGCTTTTCACAGGGACAAGAAAAGAGACAAAGAAAAGGTCAAGGAAAAAGAAAAAGTCAAAGAGAGAGACAGAGACAAGGAGAAAGACCGAGACAAAGATAGAGAACGTGATAAAGAGAGAAACAGGGAGAGAGAGAAAGAGAGAAACAAAGATCGGGAGCGAGTCAGAGACAAGGATAAGGACAGGGACAAGGATAAGGAGAAAGATAAGGAGAAGGAAAAAGACAGGGAAGAGGTAGACCAGGACAAGGAAAAGGAAGATACTGAGAAAGAAGGAGAGAAGGACAGAGAGAAGATTAAGGACAAGGAGGGAGATAAGGACAAAGAGAGGGACAGAGAGAAAGAAAAAGATGGGGATAAGGAGAAAGAGCGAGAAAAAGAGAGAGATGATAAAAAGAAGAAAGAGAAGAGATCCAGAACACCCCCAAGAAGCTATAGTTCCTCAAGAAGATCTCGTAGCTCGAGCAGGTTTGTTTAGAATTTTTTTTCATGCCTTTCTTGACTTGTCAGTTCAATAAGGCACCATCCTAGTTTTCATATATTAGTATCACCGTGTCTTTTACTAATGTAATTTGTATTATTGTTTTGTAGATCTTCCTGTAAAGTAAAATATATGGCAAAGAGCTCTGTATGATGCTTGGTAGAGCATAGTTTCTTGTTGGGCTGCTGGTGCTTGCCTTTCATACAACCATTTAGTATTGTCCTTGAGGACAGTAAGTAGAATGATTCTTGTGGCATTTCTCTGCATTGAAGCCACCCAAAAGTTCTGATAAAGCAAAATCACACATAGTCTTTGTCCTGATAAAAATCTGAGTCACTGTTATGTAGTTCCTTGGTTTCTTACATACTGTACAGTGTTGATCCGTACAGCTTGTGAACAGTTAGGTATTTGTCACTCTTCAGTTGGATGGCTGAACCAGCAGGAAGCGAGCATATCACTTGGCTGGCTAGCCATTTGGAATATTGGTATGTCACTTGGAAGATAAGCATGCGTTGTTTTGCTGGTAGATGGCCAGATACAAGTGAAAAGTAGCATTCCTTAATGATGCTAATAGCCAACATGAAAACAGTGTAGCTGTTGTTTTTGCCTCTGAAGGAGGCTGAGCTGAGTGGAAGTCTGGATAAATTCAGCAAAAGGAGACTGTGAGATTGATGATAAGCTCTGTAAGTGGATCAACTCATGCATAATCTAGAGTGTTGTGGCTGACTTAAGTTCAGAAGCATTGGTGGAAAAAGTGTCTGAATACCTCAGGTATTGGGAGTTCAATAATATCACACATCAAATTTAGATAAATTTTATTTGTTAACTTGAGAGAATGAAATGCTGGATGAAAAGTTACTTACATTACATACTATAATCATAACGGACAAAAGCAAAATTCCCCCAGTCCTCAAAATTCAGGAGTGCATGGCTCATGCAAAGCAGTCCATGTTGGTTTTTTGAGATTGATGGGCAAAATACTGTGCTGCCTTTGAGCATTTGCAGCTTCCTGTTTTGATGCATTTTTAACATTATTTCATGGGTTGAAGACCTACAGAGAAGAGAGGTATTTCTGCCAGCTTTGAAAACATGTCATTTTCTGTCTGTAAATCTCAGAAGTTTTCAGTTAGGTAAGTGTAGAAAAAAGATTTAAGATTTTGACAATATGTAGTGACAATATGTAGCTTATATAGAAACTTGGTGGAAGACATAGTTCTTAATGTCAAACAGCAAATGTATGTAGCTGGATGCTGCCAAAAATTGATACTCTAGTTTGCAACAATAATGCTTCATTTAAGAATCATGCTATTGAAGAGAGCAAAGGGTTCTAGTGAAAATTAGTGCATCTCTTCTAGTGGAATCACAGTGCAAAACTCTACTTTGATATGAAGGTTTTTTTGTTGTTTTGTTTTTTTTTAACAGAGATATTACTAAACAAGGTCAATGTTCTTTTGAATACAGAGGATGAGAGAAACACTTTTTTTTGACATGGATTTGTTATTCTTTCTTTGGACATAGTTATCCTTAGAGTATCAATACTGGAACCAATACTCTTGAACATCTTCATCAGTGGACAGTGCACCCTCAGCAAGTTTGCAGGCAATACAGAACTGGGGGGAGAGGTTGGTACGCCAGAGGAATGTGCTGCCATTCAGAGAAACATTGACAGGAAAAATGCACTGACACATCTCGGTTGGGGCAAAGAGAAGTCCAAATCCTGCACCTGGGCAGGCAAACTGTCACACCAGTACAGAATGGGGACTGACTGGAAGGCTGGCTGGTGGAAAAGGTCCTGGGGCTCCTGACTAGGTCAGCAGTATCCTCCTGTGCATTAGGCAGACTGCTGTGAGCAGGGCAAGGAAGGTTAATTCTTCCTCTCAGCACTGGTGAGGCCACATCTGAACCTTGCATCCAGTTCTGGGGTCCTCAGTATGAGAGACACAGATGTGCTAGAGTGAGTCCAGTGGAAGGCCACAAAACTGGTAAAGGACTTGGAACATCTGTCATAGAAGGAGAGACTGTGGGAACTGGGATTGTCTAGTCCGGAGAAGAGAAGGCTGAGAGGACATCTTACCAGTGCATATGAGTACCTGCTGGGAGAGTGTGAAGAAGACAGCCAGTGAGGGCCAGTGACAGGCTAAGAGGCAGTAGGCACATACTGACAGATTGGAAATAAAGAGACTTTCTTCCAGTGCTTGAATTATGTTGGTTTGGTTTGGTTTTGGTTTTGGTTTTGTTTTTTTTCCTAGGCAAACTGGACCCAGTTATGGTGAGAGATTGTAGTCTTTTTGGAGATAGTAAAAATCTGACTGGATGTGGCCCTGAGTAGCCTGCTCTAGTTGACCCTCTCTTTAGGTGGGTGTCAGAAAGGTTTGACTAGCTGGTCTCCAGAGGGCTCTTCCAACCTCAGTAATTCTGTTATTCTCTGAGAAGTAATTGTGAACAGGTTGGATTACAGAGTCCCAGTTAGCTTGCATTTGGGGTATCTGTTTACTGTGGTGATTGTTATTGCCTAGTTGAAATAGTAGTTGAAGTAGCATTTCAGCTGCCTAAGTTTAGCAGTGCAGCACGGAGATGGGATTGCTAATCCTTTACTGGATGAGTGTAAAATACTAGACAAATAGTCACCTTTTTGGAGAAGAAGTGAAGGTAGAGTTGGACATCCAGGACCTTCTGAGAGCTAGGTGGCAACTGACCTTGCTTTATTGACAGACCGCATGCAGGTAATAGAAACTAGATGACTGTTTGTGATTCCTAGCTGAAGGAAGTGGCACAGACCAGAGGAAGAGGAAGAACTGACTCCTTTTCTAACAAATATTTACAAGCTAGCAGAGAAGATAGTTATGGACTGTTAGTTCTGCTTATGACTAAGAGGCACAGAATCACTATTACAGTATTCAGACTTGTTTTTTCTTAAGTTTTGCTGTGTTAGTATTTCTTAACATTGTTAAGCAGGTGCGCACACATCTTTGTGTAGACAAATGTGATGGAGGTGAGAACGAATACCGTAAGACAGTTAAAGCTCTTTGACTTGAAATATGAAAAGCAGAAACTGAAAATTAGATTTCATGAATAAATGATTTCTGTTATGAACACAAATGCTAAGGCACTTAGGTACTTGCAGATATGTATGCTTTAGTTTATTTATCCCCACTTTATTTAGTGGGGATATACCCATTGTAGCCCAAGTGGGAGCGCTGTCAGTGTAATGCATCAGTTTTCAGTATCCTCATATTAAAACAGGTGCTGATAAATGTGAAGCTGTTAAAAATGTAATGTGTGTTAATTAGTGAGCTGATTAGTGATTTTATTATTTTCTCAATGATTCTGAGGCCAGTTTGTATTTTTGTTTACCAAAGATCAAGTCAAACTGGAAAAGCTTGCTGAACAGAATAGTTACGAATTTTTGTCCTGTGCAGCTTGAGGAGATCACGGTAGATGATATTGTCAATGTATCAATCCAGATAACGATACAAGGCATATCTTAATAAATCCTTTGTGATTTATTTAATAACTGTTGATTTCTTGGCCTTTCTAAATGTTGAAGATGTAAATACTCACACCTGGTGGTGTGAATTTTAAAAGCTGGTATGTGTAAGAATAGCATATCTTGAAGTTAATTTTTAACTTCCCTGTTTTTCTTTGATGGCTCTACACATCCTCTTTTCCTGCTTGAGGAAGAGGTGATAGGAAAAAATCACGTTACTTTGACAGAGGCAGGATCTACGTTTATGTTGAATGAAGTTTTACTGGATCAGGTTTTTGCTTTATTTTAACATATATCTTGGTATGTTTGCAACAAGTTATTTAATGTTATGTTCTATTCAAGGTTGGAGTCTATAATAACTTTGGCAAGCTCCATATGTCATACATCTGTAAACCAGTTGTTTAGTAAAATGCTATGAGCTCTTCAGTGCCTCACAGAATGGTAACATTATGTTTGCTGAGCAAGGACTGCTAGGAAAACAACAGATAATGACTTCTTGTTTTGATTTTGACAACATCTTGAGCTTCATTTTGCACAGTTTACTTCTAAACCAATAGGAATACTAGCACCTGTATTTAGGAATTAAATTTCAGTCAGGTTGAACTGAAATTACCGTGATCTTCAGGTTCTAATGTTACATGCTGAAGTTTGCATTGCTGAAATTAGGCCTTTTGTCTTAATGTGGCTCTTCATTCATTTTAATTCTTTTCCTGACTGAAGAAGCTCTTACTTAATACAGGATTAATGAATTAAGTGTGTTTCTGTTGCTGTCATGTGAGAATAAGCAAAAAACTAAAATCTGAAAGGTACAACCTTTTTTCCTCACGTCTGGCCTTCCCTTTCCCACCATCTGAAACATAAGATTTTTTTTTTCTTTCTACAGTTCACATATTGTTGCTAATAATAAAATGTTAAATTCAGGGATATTTACTTATTTTTTTTTGTCTCAGATTATTTTAAGGCCTTTTTTGTTTTAATCTGGTTCCTGATTTTATTATTTTTATTCTTATTTTTATTCTTTGATGATCTTGAATTTCTTGGTCCTGTAGAGGAAGGCGTAAAAGGAAGAGTAGAAGTCCCTCCAAGTCTCCTAAATCATCCAAAACAACAAAAAGAAAGTCTTCACGAACTCCTTCTCCAAGAAGGTAGGTTTCATGTAAACGTAAAGATTAATGAGCAGTAAAGAATCAAGAATTTTTAGTATTTTCATTGGTTAACTGCTGTTGCACTGACAATCTCAGACTCTTCCAGTTGGACAGTATGATGAATTTGAGCTTTGGTATGCTTTCACCTGGAGAGTTCCAGATCTGTCAACAATGCAGATTTGCTTCAAATCTGTAAAAGCTCTTCACTGGATACAGGTGGCCTTGGTTTTCTCTTTGCAAGTACCGTGCATACTGAGCACATGTATTCCTCAGCTCGTATCAGTCAAAAAATGCCCTTGTCTTTACAAAAAGGGGTTTTGTTAGTGTTTTGAGGTTTTTTGTGAAAACCCATAGATGGAAATTTAGTTTGCAGTTAAATGGCTTGAAGGTTGTTGCTGTTTGATCAAATTCTAATCTGAGTAAAAATTTTCTTAAACAGAAGCAAGAAAGAAAAAAAGAGAGAGAGAGATACAAATAACGAAAGAAGAGAAAGAGAACGCTCCACCTCCAAGAAAAAAAGTAGTAAAGAAAAAGAGGGAAAGGAGAAATCTGACAAACGCACCAGTACCTTGAAGGTAAACTATGTATAGATAGAATCATAGAATCATAGAATAGTTAGGGTTGGAAAAGACCATAGGATCATCGAGTTCCAGTAATAAGCAGAATGAAGAGGTGCTAGTGGAGCCAGTATTGAAATTTGCTTTTTTCTTTTTCTTTCTTTTCCTCCTCCCCTTTTTCTCCTGTTTTCCTTACCAAATTATTACCATTTCTATTTGGCTTTTGCCAGTGAAAACCTACAGTCGGTGTGTTAGTGGGCCAGTTTCATACGTCTCCATTTTTGAACTTTACTGGACATAGCAGCTTGTATGAATAGGTTATGGAATCACTTTTTGTTTGTTTCTTTTTCTTGCTCCGTATGTAAGGACCTGGCTGACTGCCTGTGTGTATGAGCAGGCAGGAACCAGACTGTGTAACTAAGGAGAGATGTTCAGGAACAGCTTGGCTGTCAAGCTGGAAAGATTACTTTTCCAATAAACTTTCACTGTTCACTTCAGCCTCTCCCTGGTTCCTTTGCCCTGGTGTGCATGTTGGACTCCGCAGGAGTAAAGTTGTAGAGCTGAGGAAGAGTGGTATGGGATTTTTCCTGCAAAATAGAAGATGGTGTGATTAAGGAAAGAAACATCTTCAGATTTTTTCAATCTTAGTATTTGAAAAGCAGCATGCCTTTAAGAGTAGTTTGTTGTACTCAGAATTATTCAACTGTTATAAACAGCTGATTTGGGTGACTCTGCCCACATGCTTAAGTAATTATCCACGAACTTTGTTAAAATGCATCAGGTATCTGCCAAAAACTATGAAAGAAAAAAGCTTAATCCTATTTTATTTAGGAAATCCGGAGAAATCTTCACTTCTGGAGCTGTTTCTAATAGATTCTGTGATGCTACTTTGTTCTTAATATTGATCGTAAAGACAGATTATGGCATTGATTTCTTGGATGACTAGTTGTTATGAGTCCCTAACTTCATACAATTGAAAAAGAAGCTGACACCTCTACTATAAAAATTGCCAAGACAAGATAGGCGTGTAAAAATTGAGCCAAAAATAACAAAAGGTGACTGGAAGTCATAAAAGTCATACCCTGTAATGCTAAGAATATGATTTTTTTTGTAAAATAATTCTGTTTTTGGTAGGACAAAGATCACACTAAAGAGGATCAGAATTCAGAAACTGACAAGGAAGTAGACAGCAGAGATACAGAAAGGACAGATGAAGTCAAACTACAACAGAATGGGAACTGTCAACCAAATGAAGAAAACCTCTCAATTAAAATGGAAGAGGTTTAAAGCAAAGAGTGGGCATCCGATTCAACTAAGAAATGAAATCCAAAGCTTTTTATTTCTCAGAATGAGGAAGAAAATAAAGCAATCAACCTGATCGTGTTGATAGTACTAGTAGCTCTTTCAATTCTTGGGATAGCTTTGTTGTCTTCTTGCTGTAAAGCAAGAGAGCACGGACCAGTAGTTATAACATGAAAAGGCAAATGCCATCAAAACTGTTCATCTCTGAAAATCCATGTATTCTCATGATGGCTGTACTTACTTGTGAAATGATTTATGTTAAGTTTTGCCATAAGCTGTTACATAAGTAGAAACTGAAAGATGTAAACCTGTACTACCCAAAAGAAGCTGAAGATATGCATTGAAGTTTGTTTAAAATTCTGCTTGTTGATGATTTTGTGGTGTTTTACCTTGTGGGTTAAAAAAATCCACAAAAACTTCAGTGTGTACTGTTTGATGTGCTTGGAAATGGTGCATAAATATACGCACTTTTTTCTGTTGTAAATGATCCCAACAGAAAGGGGTTTTAAACATAAACACAGTTTTACAGGTCTTTTGTTAAATACCTACTGACCAGTATGTTTTTAAGTTGCTTACTGGTTGAGATTCTTGGGGTTTATTATTTGAAAGAATTTCTTACTAATATCCATAAAGTTAATATTTCTTTTAAAGTATTTGAACAATGCATGTTACTTTTCTGTTCGTAAAAGGGACACTGTTATGTTATAGATAATAGATCAGATTACTGAGTTATTTTGGGGTTGTTTTGTTGCTTTCTTTGTCCTTCCGGAAGTGAGCACTTCTGTATCATATTATCTGAATTACAGCTTTTGTTTTCAGCCGTACTGCAGTGTGTACAGCTGCAAATAGTACAGGTGCCATTATGAAAATAAAATTTTCTTATTTGTTTTAAAAAAAAAAGTGGGAGCACAAGCAGATGCTTTAGTGCCTTCTTAAAATGTGGTATTTTCTAGAAACGTATATGTGCTGTTACTTATTTTCAGCTAAATCTTACATGATCTCTATTGCTGTTTTGCCACCACTTTACTGTAGACAAGAATGCAAGTGATTTGTCAGAATGGTTGCTGTATTCACTTGTTAAAATGCTAAAGTTCCATTTTTCTTTTTTTTTTTTTGTTTAAGAACAGATTTATAGATAAAAGCAAAGATGCAGTTTGGGGACCACCACTGTACAAAAGTAGTAGCTGAAGTCAAAGCATTTTCTGATCACCTGCATCAAAGACAGCCCTTTATAGACATTTAATCTACATTTGGATGGCCTTAATTAATTAATAATGACCTGTCCCTCATCTTCTCTTATGTCTGCTGGGTGAAACAGAAGGAATTGCATGTAAAGAAGAGGGCAAAATAATTTGGGGAAAATTCTAATTACACAGGAGTTAACTGGTAGAGATATTTTTTTTTCTCATTCTTTGGGGAGAAAGCAAGTAAGAGAGAATGACAAAGGAAATATTTTTGTCAAGGTAAAATATGGCTTGTCTTCTCAGAGCTAACAATTGGTTACATGAGATTTCTTAAGAGTCATTCCTTTAAAATTTACTATTTTTAATACAACTTAATACAATCAAATGACTTAATTGCCTTACCTCTTAGGAAGAGTTATTGTTGAATACAGTACAGTTGAAAAAAAAATGCAGTAGCATATTAGCTGTTTGGTTTCAATTTGATTTTTTCAACATTGCATAGTGAATTCTTCCAAAAAGAAAAAAACCCACCCGGTATTATAGGGAGTGAAAAATTTGCCCAATTCCTAAGGCAATGAAACCCAGTTTGATTGTGAAGCTGCTTAATCACTCTTCATTCTCAGTAGGATTTAATGTTCTTGCCAGTGTGTACATTTAAGACTATAGAAAATGCTTTACCATGTAAAGTATAGACAGTCATTTTTGTGCTGTTGGCTGGTAAACAGCTTATTCTGATAAAAGAGTGACAAATCTGTATGCTTACAAGAAGACTATGAAGGATTGTGTCTTGCAACAACAGCTGTCTTATTTATGATGTGTAAGTAGCATAGAGCAAAGAGATTGTTTGTATACTTGTTATCTTTGGTACCATTTCACTAATAAAATCAAGTATTTTAGAGGGAAGTTTCTGCTAGTACATACTTATTAAAGGAATATTTTTAGTTGATCTGGGTCTCATTCACGCAGCTTCTTTAATTAGAAATGTCTATACCAGTGAAAATACAAATGTATTATAGTATCTTTGAAAAGCTGGGTTTCTTTTTTTGGAGGAATTATAATTCTTGCAGTGTATCGTGTTTCAGCTGATACTAGCTTGATTTCTTGAGTTTTCTTATCCTGAAATTGCATAGTCATTATAAATCAGTTGCAAAATATATAAAGGATTGGGTACAGTTAACCAAGCAACATTCCTTTGGAAATTAATAGTGAAGGATGGCAGTCTTATTAACTAACTTATCCCGCATATAAGTCCATGTGCACCACACTGTTATATTGTTTGTGAATTAATAATTCCCTTACAAAAAAACCTTTTACTTGTTTTGTTTTTAAAGGAAAAAACTCAAAACAACCAACCACCGAACCCAGACATTTCCTCCCCACCTCAAGTCGTATTTTCTTAAAAATGCTGTATTTTCTGGGTTTGCTTTGTAAATATTGTGCAGATCTGTAGGGTAAAGTTTTGTCTATTTGTATTAGGTGTTTTGCAGTTCCCCTCTTCCTAAGAAAGCCACTAGTAGAAAACTACTGTTCTGTAAAATGCCTGTTTCTGCAGAGGATTGATCGTTTGCGAACTGGTAGTGTAGCACAGTAATGAAGTCTCTGCTTGCTCCAGCAGGATTGTGTGCATCATCCATTAAGCGTGTTCATACTCTATTGGAATTGCCTTCATTGTTAACTGGTTTGCATGCTGAACTGCCATGGTAGATTGCTTGGTTTTGCACTGCATAAATGAGATTACATGGAGTGATGTTTTGAGAACAGTGTAGTTCATGATAGTTTTACTGTTTTAAATGTAATTTCATTTGAGTCAGTTTTTATTTGAAAATATGAGAGATAATTGCTTAGAAAAGTGATTAGCCATTTTGCTAAGACCATGTGAAGCCTGTATGTGTAAGTTTCTGTTAGTGGCTACAGTTATTTCACAGCAGTGTTTCTGGGTTACAGATAGGCTTTTTCATAGGATTTTGAGGGAAGAAGATAGAAGGCAACTGCTGGTGACTGAAACAGGATTCCAAGTTCAAAGTAGAGGTGGCTGTGACTTAGATAAACTCATCAAAGTCAATAGGCTTACGCAAATGAGAGGGATGAAATTTTGATTGCAAACATTAGTATGATATGAAAAGAATATTGTTAGAACTAAGGAGAAAAAAAGGCACTTCGCTTAGAATCTAGAAACATGCAGAATACCTGAGACATCACCGATACGTAGGTTTTACCTACTCATTAGCATTACCTGCTCTCTTTTAATGGCAGTTTCAGGTGCATCTGAACTACCTTTGAATTATCTGGCTAATAGCAGCAACCTGTGCACAGCTTGTATTCTGAAATGAGCTGTGACACTTGTGTTTCCTCTGCTGTAAGGAGGTAAATGCCATAGCCTTTAGCATAGCTTGCATTGCTTGCTAGTGTTCCCTGGGCCAGTTACATCTAAGGCAATACCTGAAATAACTTTGAAACTGCAAATGTTTGTTACATGGTAGCTTCTCTGTGTTGCCTTCAGCCTGTACTGGTATTTTTGTAATAGTTACTAGATCTAGGGATTTCTGTGAATTTCTTTTGATCTGAGGAGGAGATACGCAAAGGCTGCTTTGTGTGATAAAATTTTATACTTCATACCTGTCCTTATTATTCTGTACTTTTTTCATTCGTGTATGGCTGTTGCAAGCAGTAATTCCTTAGTGATTGGTACGTGTTTTCTATGACTGAGTTATCTCTGCATCAGTGTCTTCTTAGAGTTCATGTATTTTAATTTTGCTAGCCATTCACTTGGGAAAAAAAAAACAACAACAAAACCAGACAAAAATAGTCTTGAATTTTGTAAATGTTAGTGTGAAAGTTGCATTATAGCAGTAAACCAGCTAATTGTGTATTCTGAGCAATGACTTGCAAACTGGGGGATATTATAGGTACTGCCTGCCACTTGGTGTACTTCTAGTTTTATAGTAATTGATTATTGCCTTTGGTGTTACCATGATTTTAAAAGTGAGAATTGGACTTAGTGACACAAATGCTGAGACCTGTAAATGGCCAAAGTAATGTAGGCACTTAGTTCAGAAAGATGTGGTTTTCTCACCAGAGGCTGGAGCGTGGGCAGTTGAAATTTGTAGATACCATTATTACCTAAAGAGAATCTAAAACTTAATTTTGTTTGCTAATGTATGTAAACAGAAAAAAAGGTTTGAGCCTGTACCTTAGGTTTATTTTTATATGTTGAAAACTGTAATTAAAATAATATTGAAAACTAAGACACTGTATGAACAGGTGTTTGTTTTTTTTTTAAATGTAAGATAAACTGTCAGTGGTGTTTAAAAGATGTCTTTGCATGCAGTGCTTGTTTTTACTTCAAGAATATTTCATTTGTAGGCAAGTCCTGTTGCAGGATCTGAGCACATTTGTCTGGGGATTTCTTCAATATTCTCTTCAGTGTAAAACAGCTTAATATAGTTGTCTGTGGAGGCAGCTACTTTCCACGTAGTTTGAGACACTCCTCCAGTACTTTGATTCTGTATTGTTTAAGTAAATACTACAGTTGAGAAGCTATCTACAAACTTCAGCTTCCATAGTTTCCTGAAACTGTGAACTCTTACTATTCAACAGGAAAAAAATCCTTTTTATTTAAATTGTCATCATAGTTTTATCATTGTTGATCTTAATACAGGAGAACATGGACAGCAAAACTTTTAGCTGTTTATATATTTTCTGGTATGGTTCAGCTTAAATTTGTTACCTTTTTTTTATGTTAATCTAATGTCAAAGACAAGACTTGAGATTTTTGGTGTACGAAATATGTTCCATGGTAAACTTGCTAATGAAATTAATCTTCAATTGAAAATGTTGCATGTCTTTTTTGAAATGAAAGACTTACCAGCAGTGGTAAAAGAATGATTGCAGCTTTGTTTCTTAGTCCTTCATGTCGTTAATGAGGCTGCCAGTAAAGTAGCTTTCTAGTGAGCTGTTGCTCTCCTCAGTAAAACCTTTCTTGGTGCAAAGGTGTGGAACTACTGCTGCACTGATGAGTAAATTATGGGCCACTTAGAAGTTACTACTTCATAAATTCATCATTTTCATAGTAATCAACTGAATGAGTGATCTTCTCTGGAAACATCAGGAGAGTAACTTGACTTGCACAATTCATGTGGTCTATCAGTATATCCCTTCTGGTATTTTTTTCCCAGTGATGCAGGAGCTATGATTTGTTACACACAGAACCTATCACGGTCTGTGATCAGGTATACCTCAAGAACCTAAGCAATACAGCAGCAAAAAGTACTGTTCCCCTTCTCTAAGTTCGGTATTTCTGGTAAGAAAGTAGGTCTTTCAAGTTTAACAAACATTACCAAAATGGAACAAATTTAGTTTATTTTTGCATTAGTGAAGAAACTATGAAATGGTACAAGTAAAGAAATTTCCAATGCTATTACATTGTTGCTGTTTTTGTAAATAATGCCCCAAAGTTTTAATGGTGTCATCACTTAATTTGGATGAGATACAGAAAATGGCTGTGCAGCAATTCGACTTTCTCTTTTTAAATTTTTTTTTAATTTATTTATTAGGCTACATCTGCCCCAGGGAGTCAAGTGCTTTGTAAGTAAGTCTGTTGGGACTGATATTGACAAGAATATTACATGAAAGGGGGTGAGGGGTTAACTAACTAAATGTATCATCACTGTTTAGTTAAATCCCCTGGCCTAGCAGGGGATTTTCTTCTCCAGAGAAAGCTACCATAGTTCCACCAGGGAAGTTTGTCTTTCAAACAGGAAGTTAATAAGTGTGACTGCATAAAGTATTTCTCAATTTCTTTTTTTTTCTTCTTTTTAAAGTAGTATCAGGAGTTCATGCAGAGCTTCTGACAGTACATGTCAATCTATTGCCATGGCTAGTTTTCATATGACAATTCACTTAAGCTTCCCTGTTACTTTGTACAATGTGTAAGAGTCTAAACAGGCAATGGTTAAGGAGCAGAAGTTTGAGGTCTGCTTCTCAACATAACTTGTTTGGTAGGGATCTGATCTTGTGATTTTTGGGAGCAGTTATGTCTGTAATGAGACTTGTGGCTGGCTTACCTGCTACTGATCAGGTGATTTAGTCAACACATCTTCAGTCTAGAGAGCTGCATTTTACCATGCTGCTCCTCTGAATGTGAAAGGAGGAAAAAACACGTCTGAGAAATACATTGAGATGTCTTGGCAGTGGTTCAAAATCATATATATACCTAATCTTGTTAAGTAATAAAAAAAAAAGTTCTCTTTAGAGGAGGGGATAGAAAATTGAATAAAGAAGTGTCAGTCTTAAACTTTCTTGTGTAGATGGCTTGGTTTGCCTGCTTGTTTTAAGAAAACAGGCAGACATAAGCATTGGTGCTAGACCTGTCTTAAATGTGCTGCTTCAGTATGAGATGTGGGAAGACTGCGTCTCCTGGTTTTCTCTCTACAAATTTTACCTTTCATTTTAAAGGTAGAACCTAAAGAAAACCTTTAAATTTTACTGAAGTAATATGTTAAAGGGTTGCTTCAGATTACTGGATTTAGAAGTTCAAAGCAGATGCATTGGTCTACATGAAACGTGAACATTAAAAGAATGTGTAATCATCTGTTTTTTGTCAGATTTGTCTTACTGTGATGGGGTAATATTTTCCACAATTTTTCCTCTGCTTTGTTCAATTTTGTAGGACTACTCCTCTTTAGACTTCTTTAATAAGTCTTCTGAACTGTTAAAAACTTGTCTTTCTATGAGCATGGCATTTTCCTCACAAATATTCAATTTACGCATCCCAGTTATCCCGTAGGGTCTCATCAAGACTAGGTGAGGACTAGACTTGTCTGAACTGTACTGTAAATCATACTAACCTGTGTTACAGATCAGTCTCAGACAAAATGATCAGTATTTCTGAATGAACCATTAAATGGAATGAACAGAAGGATGTTATGAGATAGTAGATACTAACCA